GATTTAATAAACTGATTTCTTTCAGTACATCTCCAGACTGTCATTCTTCAAATAATAATAATAATCCTTGTATTTGATGTAGTGCTTTATCATGTTTTCAAAACTTCTCAAAGCGCTTCACAGAATATACTGTAAAGTGAATTGACTGTGTATTTTATGGGTGCAAGTGTGCCTAGAATAAGAGGACATTCTCAGGATAGAGAGATTGAAAAGAACGAGAGAGCCCTAGGGACAGATGGAGAGAGTGTCATTGGTGGCCATAACCTGTCCAGTCTCGGGCCACAGTACCTTATTCTTTTCAATCTCTCTATCCTGAGAATGAGGATCTTGAACTTGTTCTGCTGAGGGGGGGGGGAGCTAATGGAGCCAAGCTAGGATGAGGATGACAGGCCCACAGCACCTGATGTGGGAGAGAACACAAGCTGCAGAGTTTTTGGTGGTCAGCATCTTGTGTAGTGAAGAACAGGAGAGTCTTGTTATCAGAGTTACAGTCAACTCTACTTGATGAAGGCATTGATGAGGGTTTCAGCGGCTGGAGAGGAATAGCAATGGTAGAGGTGGGCAATGTTACGGAGGTAAGGGAAAGCTGAGTGGGCAAGAGCATGGATTACGGTTTGGAAGACAAACAACAAGATTACATTTGTGTAGCGCCTTTCACGTAGGGAAGACAGTTGTGAGTCAGACAAGACATTAATAAAATTCTTTGAGGTGGAGTATGCATTCATGCAAGTCTGTCAGCAACTGAGGTGAGAAAGTGCTACATGAGCCAAGTAGGAGAGCTTCTGTCTTGTCAATATTTAACTGGAGGAAGTTAGATCTCTTCCTGTCATACAATTTGGTCAGAACAGCAGTGGTCCTGGAGTCGAGAGTGGAGGCTGAGAGATGGAGTTGGGTATTATCAACATACATGTGGAAATGAACCCCATGCCTTCAGATGACATCGCCCAGTGCGAGTGTATAAATAGTGAACAGGAGAGGACCGCAAATAGAGCCGAGGAATGCCGCATGAAAGAAAGTTAGCATGAAGGACAGTTTTCAGTTGCAAGAATTTACAGCCTTTCATAGCCCATTTCATGTAATAGGCATTAAATGTGATATGAAGTGCTGCAATTTTGTTTGCCTATCATTTTGTAAAGCAGTCTGTTTCTATGAACTCATGAACAAATGAGTTGAACATAGCTGGGTGCTACACAGGATTCAGGGTAACCATCCAAAGTCTTCACATCTCTACTTCTGTGTGCACTAATAAGCTGAGCAAGAATGAATTCGTAGTTTTATCACACTTTATCACATCAAAATGTTTCAAAGCATTTTAGAGCCAAGTGTAGTGAGCAGCAAGGCTCCCCAAACATTGAGGTAATTAATCACTTTATCTAAAGCATGGTAGGCCAGAAACCAGGAGAAACTCCTTTTTCTTTTCAATTTGTGTCACAGGATCTTTAACGTCCAGCTGATGACCTTGCAGAGGAGACCTCAGTTTAACATCTCATCCGAAGAACAGGGTAATTGATTGCTCATTTCAAGCATTCAGTATTGGAGGTCTGATTTAAAATATTTGGTGCCTTAACTTTCCACACCAATGCTGTTCAGGTCAGGGGAAATTGAAATGTGTAGATTTAAATTATTTTTTAATGCTTGAAGATCGAATTGCAGGAGAATTTTGCTGTCTTAAAAGAAAGCTTTTGGTTTAAGATTGTGTTTGCAGTAGATTTCAAACATCAAGTTCCAAAGACAAATTGATTGGTATTTCATGTTTTCCTGTAACCCTGAACTGTATTACAATAGTAAGCACAGTGTGTTCTAGGATACAGTTTATCATTCATGCCCATTCAGGTCTATAGTTTACAGAAATCCTCAGTATGTCTTTTCTGGGAACTAGTAAGCAGTGAGCTTGTGGAAGATAACAGGCTTGATCAATGTTTAAAATCTGGCTGTTTTCCAATATGACTAAATAAATCAAAAACTGTAATGAATAGGGAGTAGTGAAAGAATGCCCAAGTTGCAGAGGCAGCAACAGCCGATGGGGGCAGAGCAGAAGAAACAGGTGGTAGACAAGAGTCAATTTGTATTGCCAAGAACTCATGACTGACAAGTCAGGGTTTTTTGTGTAAAGTTTAGCATTGCTTGTAGTATAATACATTCTGTAAATGATGACTCCTGACAACAGATGGCAATTCCCTCCCCGCACACAAAGAAACTCTTCTTCCTTGAAACATCCTTCCAAGAGCTAGATCATTGTTCTGTCACAGCACCACAGTACTGAGAAGGCAGAGCAGATTTTTTTCTTTCCTATTTATCAGATACATAATTGTATCCTCCCACTTTAATCATGGTAGATTTATCTTTAGTGCAAGGAAATTATAAAAATTCCAAACAGAGGTAACTCAGGGAGTTCTAGAAATTAGGGCATAATGGCAGAAGGCATGATCACTGATTTGATGCAATAGGGCTGGGGAGTCGCAGCAGCCAAAGTGAATGGGGCAGGCAGAGGAGTGAGGTAAAAGCAGGTCAGAGAAGTAGGGAGGTGCTAGGATGTGAAAGGATTTGTATGTGAGGGTAAGGATCTTGAAGTTGATCCATTCAGAGCCGTGGAGCCTGGTGATAGGTCTGCAGAGTTCAACTTCCACCATTCACCTCAGAAACTTTGAGACTCATACTCATACTCTAAGATGATACTCCAGGGAACACGCAGCTGGTCAGGCAGCATTTATGGAGAGAGGAAAATTAGTTAACGTTTCAGGTCGATAAACTTTCGTCAGAACCTAACACAGAATCTTTCGTTCTGATGCTACCTGACCTCATGTGTGTTCCCAGCGACATCTGTTTTTATTTCAAGTTTCCAGTATCTGCAGTATTTTGACTCCAGTACAATGCTGGGCGAACACGAACACTCTATTGTCAGAGATTCTGTTCTTCAGATGAGATGTTAATGCGAGATCCTGTCTGCCTGTTCAGTGGACGTTAAAGATCCCATGGCACAGTTCGAAAAGCGAAGGGAGTTTCTTGGCATCCTAGTCAATCATCCCCAGATTTATCTTTAGTGTGAACAAATTTTAAAAATTCCAAACAAAAGTAATTTAGGGAGTTCTAGAGATTAGGGCATAGTGGCAGAAGGCATGATTACTGGTGTTGACGCGGATGGGTTGGGGAGTCACAGCAACAACATCAACAACAAAATTATATTTGTATAGCGCCTTTCACATCGAGAGGACGTCCCAAGTCGCTGGACACACAGAGTTGCAGACCTGAGCTGAAGATCGGGTTGGGGGAGGGCAAGGGGGGAAATAGGGAGATCGAAAGCACGGTCAAAACGGAGGGTCCTGAGGTGGGTCTTGAAGGTGGTGAGGGAGGGGGCGAGACAGAGGGCTGCGGGATGGAGTTCCAGAGGGTGGGTGCAGAGTGGCGGAAGGCCCGCCCGCCGATAGTGGGGCGAGCAAGGCGGGTGACGCGAAGCAGGCCGGAGCCTGCTGAGTGGAGGGAGCGAACAGGGTGGTAGGGGGTTAGGAGGTCGGAGAGGTAGGGGGAGCAAGACCGTGGAGGGCTTTGAAGGTGAGGACCAGGATCTTGAACTGTATCCTCTGTGATGGGAAGCCAGTGGAGTTGGGCAAGGATGGGGTCGATAGGGTCGCTGAGCCTAGTGCAGGAGAGGACACGGGCTGCTGAGTTCTGGATAATCTGCAACCTGTGGAGGGAGGAGTTGGGGAGGCCGACAAGCAGTGAGTTTGCATAGTCGAGCCTCGATGTAATGAAGGCGTGTATGAGGGTTTCGGTGGCTACAATGTGAGACAGAGTCGGAGCCAGGCGACGTTGCGGAGGTGGGAGAAGGCAGAGCGGGTCATGGCGCAGATGTGGGGTAGAAAGGATAGTTGAGGGTCAAACAGTAATAATAATAATAATCCTTGCATTTGATATAGCGCTTTTCACGTCGGGAGGACGTCCCAAAGCGCTTCACAGAACACACTGTAAAGTGAATTGACTGTATATTTGTGGGCGAACGCGGCAGCCAATTGCGCACAGCAATGTCCACAAACAGTCGTAGATTGAAAATGACCAATTTATTATTGTTTTTGGTTTTGGAGGGATTATTATTAGGCTCTGTGTGGAGTAAGGAAACTTGCCCAAGGTTTCGCCCTGTGCCTGGAATTGAACTCAGGTCTCTCGCTTGCAAAGCGAGTGCTCTAACCACTGAGCTACAGGACTCCAAGGTTCCGGACTGGCTTAGTGAGGTGGAGTGTGCAACCATGGATGGTGCTGCTGTCAGTGCCTGAGGTGATGGGGCACTGACAGGAGCCAATCAGGAGAGGCAACAATAGCTACAAATTACATTTGTAATGCGCCTTTCAGGTCGGGAGGACATCCCAAAGCGCTGGGATGCCCTGTGTTTGCAGAGTGAATCGGGTATGCAGAGGAGTTAGTAATAATAATGTCATTCACTTATTATTCACTTCATGGCTTTAGGTGGGACTTTGCTTTGCGTAAAAATTATAAATATATTTAATTATGTGTATAGATATTTATTTGGTTGCATTGAAAGCAAGAAACTGTTAAGAAAGAGAAAAAAAAGTCGTAAAAATACCAGTTCTTCAGGTCTAGAAACATTAAACGCCTATTTGACATAGAACCTATACAGTTTTTATCCCAAGAAAAATAAATTATTTTACAAAGGAGTGGAAACTAACACTGCACAACACACATCACAATTTTACTTTAATGTCTGTTACAAAAGGACTGTTTGATCTTCCCATGATCAAAAATGTTTGCATGAAGCACAAATGCCAGAGCAGTGCTTCTGTCGCTGTACTACAGTTCATTAAGACTTGTTTTCTTTGCCTTTTGAGCAGGGTGTTTCCATATGAAATTAAAGCTGGCTCTGTACCTGAAGTGTTACATTTCGCAGGACAGCAAACATACTGCATCACAAGCCGTTGGTTAAATATAGTTTCTGTTCCTGGCCAATGCTCTGAAAGGAGGGACTTACATTCTGTTCCTTATTTTTACAGGTTCAACAACTGGCCAGTACTTGGAAGAGAAGGTCTTTGTGGCTTCACATGCGTGCAGAGGAATAAATAACTGCATGGAGACTGGAACTAAAGTGTTTTACAGGAGTTCAAGATTACAATTTAAGGAACGGTAAAGTGGATAGATGTATCTGAAGATGAATAAGACATGAATGATAAATCCTGCGATATATTGAATGAACTGAGAAAAGAATCGTTTATCATTACAGAAATACTTTTTGATCATCAAAGTAACACATATGCTTTCTGGAACGTTTTCTTTTAAAAAAACCTATATGTCCAAGGTTTGTTCTTCACCTTTTATTGAAGTGCTAAATAATATAGGATAAAGGTGAAAGAAAAAAATGACTTCATCAGTTCAGAACAGCACTTACTGCTCTGACGTAGAGGGCAACAGAAAGGAAATAAAAAACAACAATGAACAACTGATAGCAACAGATGGAGACACCAATGCAAATGATCTATCATCAAATGCTGTTACTGTAGAAGAAAAGGAAGAAGAATTTGACTTGACTGATGACCTTGAGAATGATTTCCATGCACCACAGAACACACCATTTTTATATGGAAATTCAGATGAGCTTGGGAATCAAAGTGAGCAGTCCAAACCAGATGATCAGGCATTTCCAAGGCAAGATCTGAAGATTTCTAAAGATGCTGTGGCTGATAAAACTGATATCATAGACCTGGAAGGTACAGAGTTTAAGAAGCGCAATTCCTATGATAGACGGGAATATCTAAATATTGGAACAACTCAAAAGGATTGTTATTCCTTAAAAAGGGATTGTTCTGCTCCTGAAGCTGCCGTGGTGCAAGAATGTCCAGAAATGAATGTGATGAAAGGGAATGAAAAAAGAAATGTCATGCAATTATCATCCAAGGATTCCTCTTTTCATTCATTAGAAAAGGCTAATATAAAGGATGTGCTGGCAGAGAGTGGTACACCCAGAGAAGATGATGATGATGATGGGTGTCTACGAGAGAATGGATCAGTGGCTGATTGGTTTACAGGACCATTGCATTTCCAAGAATGCTTCACCAGTACTGTTGGTAGTACTCATGGTTCAAAGCAACCTTCAGCAGACATGTTCAAAGCCATTTCTGCTGATTCATTTGGTTTGACTTCAATAGAAATGTTTGAATTTCACCCTAACTCACCTACCTCAGAAAACAGGAAGTTGTTCCCACAGTTACAAATGGAGATAGAAAAGCCACCTGATCTTGTCAAAGCAAGCACATCACTTTGTGAAGATGTAATCTGTGCCCCAAGTTCAGATGGTCAACTACAGGAAGCTATTAATAAATTAGAAACCCAGGTAAACCAGGATACATATATTGACAAATGTAAGATGAGCAACCCATTCAATCTTTCATCCAGGAGTGCCTGGCTCGAGGTTGAAAATACCAGATTAGTGCCAGGAGCTCAGAGCAGAAGATACATTTTTCCAGTAAAAGAAGAAATAGAGCCCGGCGAGTTTAGTCAACAAGCACCCTCTTTGCTTGGAAAAGAAGCAACTAAAGTAGCACAGTGTCTGCAAGACAACACAGTAGATACTAAAGAATTACATCTTGAAGACCTTAACTTTGAAGATAACCATTTCTTAAATCTTCCAGACGAATTTTATACAGATGAATGCTTGGTAACTGAAGGCACTTCTTCAGTATTAAGGAAACAAGGTTTTAAAAACAGAACCTTAAATTGGACAGATACTGACTTAGATGCCCAGTGTTCAGTTGAACCAACTAAACAACATGAAAATTTATATTTAAATATGGCTACTAATGTGGGCAGCAAGGAATCTGCAACTGTTCAATTCCCAAACATTCTCAATGAAGCAGATAACTACACTGAAATCAATCAAATGCCACATGTGAGAACCAATCCGCTTTTTAGGCATGGATTTGACAACCTTTTTGTTCCTTTTGAAGTCAGTGGGAAGGGAAAAGAAGATATAAGACAGGTTTGTGAGAGTGATAGTAATTCATTAGCACATGAAACAATTGAGGTGAAAAACTGCAATAAAATGACAGATAAGGAAGATTCCAGAGTTTCTAACATCTCACATTTAATGCTGTCAAAGCAAAATCCTACCAGGCAAGATGTGAATAGAGACAAGGATGTACTGCCAACATTGGAGGCTTGTCCTGGTCAATACAATGATGAATGGTCTTCTGACAGTGGAATGAAGAACTCTACGCAAATAGCATTGTATGAAATCAACAGCAATGTACTGATAAGCGAGACTAAAGAGCACAGAAAGGTTTTTGAAGCGCTTGGTCCCTCAGAGTATTCTGTAATTCCTTCATCCACACAGTTTCAGCAGACAATCAACAGAAGTGCTTCTAATCCATTCTCAGGTTATAATGCTGATTTGAAGGAGACTGCATTTCTTCCCGGTGACAAATTGTCAGGATCTTCATTCGTACCTCCTACAGAAAATATGCAGTCATGGAGCTATTCCTGTAGAACTCTTGACAAAACTAATTGTAACAGTGGAATCCCAAAGCCAATCCTGCAGCATTGCAGAGCTTTTACAACAGAAAAGGGAGCTATAGAAACAAATTGGCAGCCCAAGCCTGAAGCTAAAATCATACCCAAACCAAAATACGTAAGACCTAAAATTATAACCTATGTTCGAAAACCTCAGCCTAAAACACCCGATCCTATACAAGATCCCGTGGTTACATCTCCAAAACTTTCAATATGGAATGAGCCCATTTCTGATGAGCACAAGTTCTCCAGTGGTGAGAACAAACCACTCTCTACAGTGAACACTCCTGCTTCTTTCGACCGATATAAACCAGACTTGAAAAGAAACAGAATTTACTCGACTGGGCTGATGGTTTCTGGAATCAGGCTTCCAGGCCAGCAGGCTTTTCCCAGGACAATGGGAAAGTCGCTCCCTTCTTCAAGTGACATTATATCCAAGGGCACAGCAGAAACCTTTGCACAGCTAAGTCATTCTGAGGTGAGACACTGTTTGCATGATGTGTGTTCCTATCAGAAAAATGCTGCGTTTGTCAAAGGTGCCATTCTTCAGATGAGACATGAAACTGAGGCCCTATTTCCATGTTCAGGTGGATATTAAACATTCCATTACATTATTTGAAAAGAGAAGGGAGATTCTCGCTGTGTCCTCACCAACAATCACCCAAATTTTTAAAAAATGGTCATTCACTTAATTGTTGTTTGTGGGACATTTCTGTGCACAAATTGGCTTCCGCATTCACCCACAAAACACACAGTCACTCCACTTCACAATATATCCTGTGAAGCTTGTGTCCTGCTGACATAAAAGGTACTATACCAAATGTAAACATTAATTTTATCATACTAAAATCTAATTTCAGAAGCCTACAAGGCTACCAGCTTCCACATTAACACTGAATTCAAGAATCTTCCAAAGTTCTGCCCATTTTAAATTTTAAGACTGTGGTCGTAAGGCAGAAACCATAACAGATGATAAACTTTGTGCTGTTTATGTTAATAACTCATTCAGACAGTTTGGAGGAGGGGGATGGGATTATCTGATATTTTAATTTCTTAAAACTACCAAATGGGAAGAAATAAAAGAAATAGATAAATGTAATTATTTTAAATGTGTCTGATTCACCTCGAATTCAAGATACTCATCCTCACCTTGAATTCAAGATCCTCATCCTCACCTTCGAATTCAAGATCCTAATCCTCACCTACAAGGCCATTCACAGCTTTGCTCCCTCCTAGCTCTCCGACCTACTATCCCCCTACCTACCTGCCCGTACCCTCTGTTCCTCTGGCTCCGGTCTGCTCCACATCCCCCGCCCCAACCGCCCTACCATCGGTGGCCGGGCCTTCAGCCTCTCAGCCCCGAGGCTCTGGAACTCCATCCCCCAGTGCCTTCGCCGCCTCCTCCCTTTCCTCCTTCAAGGCTGGTCTCAAGACCTTTTCTTTGACTGTGTCTTCAGCTCCCCTCTCGACTCTCTACCCCCTCCTCGCTCCCTCCCTTCCCTCACCCTGACCATTTCCCCCCTGCTCGGGTCCTGACCCAACTGTTCAGCGCCTTGGGTCGTCCTCCCGACGTGAAAGGCGCTCTATAAATGAAATCTTGTTGTTGATTCAATGCAAATGTTATTACTAAGTAAATCTTAATAATCACTTTGCTGGATCATATGTTTAATGGTTTCAAAGTAATACAGTAGACTTACCTACTGTCATTATCAGTATCATATCAATAAGCATAATGAAATAAAGCTACATATAGCATTTTTCTGTAAGATGAGCAGCTCCCACGCAAGCCTTCACACTGAGTGTAACTGAAGCCTGAATTAGGCTTACTTGGATTTTGCTTATAGCAAATACAAACATTAAGGACTGCATTCTTACACAGTGAGACAATCCCTCCAGTTAAAGCATTTCTGCTGATTGGAGCAGTGTTTGTTGCTCAGTGTCTGAGTGGGAAAGATTGTAGAGTCAGGAGCAGAGGTAGGAGAGCGAGGGGCAGAGCTGAGACCTAGCAGTGGGGATAAAAGCCACAGCGAGGAGAGCAGTCAGGAGCAGAGGCCGGAGAGAGATAAAAAAACAAGCAGACCTGCGGGAAAATTAAAAAGTGATGTCAGAGCAACGTCACAATCAAAATATTCTGAAAGAGTAAAGTAACAGCTAACACTGACTACTAACAAACAGTAAACTAGCACTAACTACTAATTAGCAACACTAAAAATAAAATAAATTTTTAAAAAATTAATTAGGAATTTAACTTTTAAAAAGTAATAATAATTATTTAAATAAAACTTTAATTCACAGTGTGGGTGGGAGAGGTGACAATGGCGGGGCAGGTGTTGTGTGAGGACTGTTAACATGTGGGAATTGTTGGAGGGCAGTCTGAGCCCGGGCAACCACATCTGCATCAAATGTCTGCAACTGTGGCAGCTCTGGCTCAGAGTGTCTGAGCTGGAATCCGAGGTGCAGACATTGCGCAGCATCAGGGATAGGGAGTGCTTCCTGGATAGTTTCATCCTGGAGCCAGTCGCTCCCCTGAGGGTCAGGGAATGTATAGATAATAGTATCAGTCAAGGACAGGATAGGGTGTCTGACAGGCAGGAGGTTAAGGGAACACCAGAGAGAGTGGTAGTGAAGCCTCAAGCTTTAACCTTGGCCAACAGGTACGAGGTTCTTGCAACCTGTGTGGACAAAGAAGCCTGTGAGGAGGAAGGAAAACGTGATTCCAATATTAGAGGAAACAAACAGAAAGTTGTAGTAATTGGGAACAAGACTATCAGGCGGACAGATACACTTATCTGCAGCAGCAACCAGGAGACCTGAAGGCTCTGTTGCCTTCCTGGGGCCGGGGTAAGGATGTCTCATCGGGGCTGAAGGAGATCTCTAAAACATGAGGGCGAGGATTCATTGGTGGTACTTCACATAGGTACCAATGACATAGGTAGGGTTAGTTGTGATGATTTGAGGAGGGAGTTCAAGGAGCTGAGAACTAAATTAAAACAAAGAACATCGAAGGTAGTGATATCAGGATTGCTGCCTTTGACATGTGCAAATTGGTACAGGAATAAGCAAATTAGAGAGTTGAATGCATGGCTGAGGGAGTGGTGTGGAACGCAGGGGTTTCATTTTATGGGCCACTGGCAGCAGTAATGGGGGAAAAGGGGTCTATTTCAAAAAGATGGGCTCCACTTAAATCGGGCTGGAACAAATGTCCTAGCAAACCGAATACATACCGAATAAGCTTTAAACTAGTAAAGGGGAGAGGGGGATACGATTAGAAATAATTGCAAGCCAGCAATATTAAGAAAACTAAAGGTGGCAGAACAGAATAGCGAGAGCGATAAACAGAATAGGTCAGAAGCTCAGTAAAGAAGATAGGGCAGCAGAGAGTAGGGGAAATGATAAGAAATTAAAATCTCTATATCTGAATGCACGAATCTTCACATAGATTGGGAAAACCAAATCGGCAAAAGTAGGGTAGAGGAGTAGTTTATAGAGTGTATGAGAGATAGCTTTCTGGAGCAGTATGCTGAGGAACATACTAGGGGACAGGCCATCCTAGACCTTGTTTTGTGTAACGAAACAGGGCTAGTCGGTAATATAGATATTAAGACTCCTCTAGGGCAGAGTGATCATAACATGATAGAATTTAGTATTAAGTTAGAGAGCGATGTAGTCAAATCCGAAACAAGGGTCTTAAATTTAAATAAAGCTAACTTTGCAGGTATGAGGGAATAATTAGCTAAAATAGACTGGGGAATTAGATTAATGGATATGACAATAGACCAACAAATGTAGCTCAGTGGTTAGAGCACTTGCTTTGCAAGTGAGAGACCTGAGTTTAATTCCTGGCAGGGCAAAACCTTGGGCAAGTTTCCTTATTCCACACGCCTAATAATAATCCCTCCAACAAACAAAACAATAATAAATTGGTCATTTTCAATTCACGACTGTTTGTGGGACATTGCTATGCGCAATTGGCTGCCGCGTTCGCCCACAAATATACAGTCAATTCACTTTACAGTATATTCTGTGAAGCGCTTTGGGACGTCTAGAAGACGTGAAAAGCGCTATATTAAATGCAAGGAGTATTATTATTATTAATAATGGCAAACGTTTAAAGATGTAGTGCATAATTCTCAGCGTTCACATATTCCCTTGAGGAATAAGAGTACCACAGGGAAAGCAGTTCATTCGTGGCTAACTAGAGCAGTTAGAGAAAGTATAAAACTAAAAGAAAAGGCCTATAAAACTGACAAAAAGAGTAGCAAACCTGAGGACTGGGAGTGTTTTAGGGACCAACAAAGGAAAACCAAAAAGCTCATTAAGAGTGAGAAAATGGATTATGAGGGCAAGCTAGCTAGGAACAAGACAGATAGTAAGAGTTTTTATAAATTAAGAAGAATAGGCGAGCGAAAGTAAATGTGGGTCCATTACAAGCAGAGACAGGAGGAATTATAATGGGGGATAAGGATATGGCAGAGTCCCTAAATAAATACTTTGCTGTCTTCACGTTAAAAGACACAAGAAGTTTACCAGAAATAGAGATGAATCAAGGGGCTAATGATAGGGAGCATCCCCTGGACCTGATGGTCTGCATCCTAAGGTTTTAAAAGAGGCAGCTCATGAGATAGTGGAGGCCTTGTGTCTGATCTTCCAAAATTCTTTGGATTCTGGAACGGTTCCCATTGATTGGAAGATCTCAAACGTCACACCACTATTTAAGAAGGGTGGGAGAGAAAAGATGGGGAACTATAGACCAGTTAGTCTGACATCGGTGGTAGGGAAAATTCTAGAATCCTTAATTAAGGATGTCGTAGTGGGATAGTTAGAGGATCACAATATGATTATACAGAGTCAACATGGCTTTACAAAAGGGAAGTCATGCTTAACAAATCTTTTAGATTTTTTTGAGGACATATCAAGTAGATTAGATAGGGGGGAATCAATGGATGTAGTGTATTTAGATTTCCAAAAAGCATTCGGTAAAGTTCCGCATAAAAGGTTGGTCCACAAGATTAGGGCCCATGGAATTAAGGGGAATGTATTAGCATGGATTGAAGAATGGCTAACAGGAAAAAAACAAAGAGTAGGGATAAACGGGTCCTTCTCAGATTGGCGGGATGTGACTAGTGGAGTGCCACAAGGATCAGTGCTTGGGCCTCAACTATTTACAAGCGATCTAGATGAGGACATCGAACTTAATATATCCAAATTCGCGGATGACACTAAACTAGGAGGGAGAGTAAACAGCGAGGATGACATTAAAAAAATGAAACGAGATATAGATAGGCTAGGTGAGTGGGCAAATAAGTGGCAGATGAAGTATAATTAGGGAAGTGTGAAATCATCCACCTAAGGTGGCAAAAACATGTTTTAGAAGGGGAGAGACTAGATAGTGTTAGTGTTCAGAGGGACTTGGGTATCCTTGTACATCAGTCACAAAAAGTTAGTTTGCAGGTACAGCAAACAATTAGGAAGGTTAACGGTATGTTGGCATTTGTTACAAAAGGTTTAGAATATAAGAGTAGGGAAATCCAGAGAGACCGGGGTTCGATTCGCAGCAGAGCGAAACGTTGGGCAAGTCTGGTTTGGATGCTCTTGGGCATGATAATAATAACAATCCTTGCAATTGATATAGTGCCTTATCATGTCTTTGAGACGTCTCAAAGCGCTTCATAGAATATACTGTATAGAATATACCAAACCAGTAAACAAGCCTCTGTTTACATAGCAGTAAGTAGGAACCCGGTTGTTAGTCAATTGGTGGATTGCTTTCCGGAGGTAATAATTTGTTCAAAAAATGAAAAAATTGGTCGCTCAATCCACGACTGTTTGTGGGACCCTGTTGTGCACAATTGGCTGACGTGTTTCACCCACAAAATATACAGTCAATTCACTTTACAGTATATTCTATGAAGCGCTTTGAGACGTCTCAAAGACATGATAAGGCGCTATATCAAATGCAAGGATTGTTATTATTATCATGCCCAAAAGCATCTAAACCAGACAGAGTTCCACACATGCACGTCACCTACACATGGAAATCTTCCTGTGTCTGGAATGGAGTGACCTCCTTTAAGGCACATCTCAAGACCCTTCTCTCCGACTGTGCCTTCGGTCACCCACCTACCCCTACCGTCCTTGCCCTCCACTCCTCCTGCTCCCAACCCCCTGCTTGGGTCCAAATCCCTGACTATCCAGCGCCTTGGGACGTCCTCCCAATGTGAAAGGTGCTATATAAATGCAATTTGTTGTTGTTGTTTGTACCGCGCTATGGATTAGGACTTTGGCTTACAAAGTAGACAAGCTGAGTGGGGAGAATCCCTGTGTCCAGGAACTGATCTGCTCGTCCAAGTCCTGTCAATGAGGTTGTTCTGTCATCAGCCGTGCCTTGAAGTACTGTGGACCTGCTTGACTCAGGAACTGCACGACCGATAACTCCACAGAGGGTTGTCCCGATTCTGACATTCCTTAACCTAACATCAGCTCAGCCTCAAGGAGACCCTGATTACCTCACCTCCCCTCCTCCAAGGAGGATAGTCATTAGATTGACACTTGACATTCGACAAACACAGGCTTGAGTCTTCATTGTCGGACAGCAGGAACTCCCTGATGAGCAGCTCCTCTGCATAAAATGCATGAAAGCATTGTCACCATGCTCCCGGCCATAGTTTAGACACACGTCTCTACCTGTTGAACATTGATTTGAAGGAAAGTTGAATAGAAGAAACCAAAATGTTTCCTGACAGAGAACTCAGAGTAGATATCTCGCCTGTTCTCCAGTGTGAAATCGATTAATGGGAAGATGTAAAGTGCTTGTTGGTAAATGTTCCAACTAGGACAGAATTGGGCATGCTTTGTCCTCTTTGTTCGCCATTTATAATTACAACTGCACATCCTATCAAGCTTCTCTTGATTGAACATTTCCGTTTGACTTGGTGTTGCTGTAAATGTAACTACCTAGCAGGCAGTCTACAAATCTAGGTAATTAACATAGCACAAAACTGGCCACTCTGGATTTAAAATCATAACATTTGTTTCTAGTTTGTAACTTATTTTCTTTACTTTCTCTCTTTCCTCTTGAATTCACCTATTCTGCTGGGAGTATGAGCAGTAGGCTTGCTCCAAACTTCTGCTCGTACTGGTATATACCACACAAGGAGGTGTGCAATACTGTGATTCAGGCTCTGCAACACATTCCTTCCCTTTTTCCAAGGCAGTTAGCCCCTGTGCGTTAACTACAGTTAAGAAAGATTGAGAATTCAAGTGGGTTTTGACATCTGGCCTTTTGACATCTGAAGGTAGCATTTTCCGCATCGTCTATCAACATTTATATTTATAGTCTCACTGTCTCCTCTCATCTCAAATGCAACATCTACATCTCCTCCATGGAGTCCTGTAGCTCAGTGGTTAGAGCACTCGCCTCGCAAGCGAGAGACCTATGTTCTATTCCTGGCAGGGTGAAATGTTGGGCAAATTTCCTTACTCCACATGCCTCTATTTACCTAGCAGTAAGTAGGAACCCAGTTGTTAGTCGATTGGCGTATTGCTTTTCTGGGAATAATAATTCCTCAAAAGAGAACAATAATCATTTAGTCACTCAATCCACGACTGTTTGTGAGACACAGCTGTGCGTAATTGGCTGCCGCGTTTCCCCCACAAATATACAGTCAATTCACTTTACAGTACATTCTGTGAAGCACTTTGAGATGTCTAGAAATCGTGAAAAGCTCTATATCAAATACAAGGATATTATTATTACAAAATCTCTCTAAAGAGCTCCCATTCTATTCCACAAGCTCCTTTTTCACTCAAAACAATCCTTAATTATAAAACCCAGGTCTGTCACCCCAAATTGGAATTCTGTCTGCTACATCTGGAGAAACTCTTCGACCAGCTCTCGCATCTCTTGAAACGGTATAAAAATAGCTTGTTGTTCAGTAGGTGATACTAGTGTCACTCTTGCGTTCAATCTTTCTTATCTTTCTCTCTGTCTGTCTGTGTCTGTCTCTGACTCTTTTTCTTGCAACATTCCTTGTCTTACCATATTTTATTTATAATTTGTTCATATCTAATACAATAGAAGCCAGGTTATAGTTGGTACTCCAATTTTCTCTGAAACATAGATCATTACTGATCATGTGCAGAGATGTGTGCAATGCACTTCATTACAAGCATGTACCTGAATTTTCGCAGCGTTTTGTATCATGAAAGAAACCAGAGCCCCCAGTGAGGTCAAACACACTGGCCGTGAATACTAGCCAGCTCTTTATTAATAGTTTATTTGGGAATTCTCATTATGCATCTTAACAAAAGATTGGCCAGTATAATTGGCATGTATTAGATTCCAATGTGTTTGCTGAGTATAATATTGCAAATGCAAGTGAAGCAGAATTATTTAATGTGCTTGTGCACAGTCTAATGTATGTATGAGTGGCTAATAAGGAGGAACATCACACTGTTCCAGATTGAGGTTAAAGCATACTGATAGAGTAGAATCAATGGAACATTCTATAGCTGACCTGGGAGTGCTTGATGTTGACTTTAATACCATGTCAGTAAAGTTGCCAACTTTTAAAGTGAGCATTTATAATAATAATAATAATGATAATCCTTAGTATGGAATGACAATATTTGAAAAAGAGAAGGGAGTTTCTACCTGGGTCTTGGCCAACAATCCTTCAAATAAAACTGGGAAACCTTCATGGCTGTTTGTCAGACCTTGCTGTGCACAAATTGCCTGCCACATTTGCCTACAAATACACAGTCACTACACTTTCCATAAGGTACTGTGACATGCTTTGAGACATTTCGACAATGTGATAGGCAGTATATGAAAAGCAAGAATTATTTTTATTGCCAAAGCCAGAAAACATTCTCTTTCCATCACTTGGGTGTCTAACTTCAGAGTACACAAAAACATCACAAAAGGGATTAATTAAAAATAAAGGATTTGACCACTTGCCAATGACAAGCTTTTTTCTCATGGAAACAATGTTATTTTTAGGCGTTTGCGACATATAAATGGTATTATGGGATGGGATCATTTGTTTCTATTTGTATTCTGTTTCTGGATATCAGCTCTTCTCAGATATTGTTTATTCTGATGTGAAGGAAGCTTAATCATCTTAAGCAAGTTTGGATGTAGGCATCACATTGTAACATTTTTATGAAAACACTCTGCTGTAAGCTCCCTCTGCCGCTGAAGCTTCAGAATGTAGTATTGAGAAACTGCAACCACCTAAGAGAGCAGTGATTTGTTACCACACAGTTCTGAGTTGATTGTGGCAATCATTCCTGTCACCAATCAATTAAACTGTTCTTTTCAACTGCACCTTTGGTCACCTTCCTTCCTCCCCCTCCCCCTGACTCGGCCCTAGGATCTGTAACTGTGAAGCGCTCTGAGACGCCGTCTGGCGTGGAGGGCGCTATATAAATCCAAGTTGTTGTTGTAAACTACAGTTCTGAGCAATTTCAGCGCTTGAAAAAAATTAGACTAATACATAGGGAATGTCAAAACCTGACCGCAGATTAGCTGCGTGTCCAGCTGACAGTAAGTGCCAGCTATATCAAAATGCAAGGATTATTATAAGTGCCAGATAAGTGGGGTTACAGATCAAATGTGTTTAACAGTGGAAATCAAAATTGATGGAAATCAAATGTGCAAAATGACACTTAAAATAAAACAGTAACATTTGTAAATGCAAAATTACTATAAATCTCAGGATCGTCTAGTCACACACAGAATTTTAAAGATTTGGATTCTAGTATGCAATATATCATAATACTCATTATTGATATAAAATTATTTTAAATAAAAATAACATTAAAAGATGTATTATCAAGAATGTGCCTCAGGCTATGGTGTATTTCAGGGGATGATTCAATAGTCTATTCATTCTGTTAAATAGTAATATATTCTGACATACTTATTACTGCCATGATGTATGACTAACAAACCTTTCTTATTTACTTAAATCGGTAATGCGTAGAGAGATATTTAACACTCTGCCAATGAAAAATGTAAAACCTTATTGTTTTTCTGTTCCTTTTCAGATAGAGCCTTCTACATATAGCTTGATTGGATCTGGACAGGACAAGGCTTCTATTTCTGAGGAATGTTCGAATCTGATGATGCACACCAGCATTCATAGATCCCCTATGACTCTTAGGCCACCATTAGGAATTGGGGCTATCTCGAGATTGCCTGCTGCAAAAAACAGGCTTGCATTCCATGGGCAAAAGTCATCAATCAGTTCAACTCCACTTCATATGCAAGGGCCAATGACCAATTTTACCAATGTCAGCTATCAAGAGAGTTCAGGTAAATATCCAGCTGTCTGTAGCATTATATCAGTAATGTGAGCAGAATGCATTGCCTGAAAGTGTGATGGAAGCCGATTCGATAAGAACTTTTAAGGGAGAAGTAGATAATTATTTGGGGAGGACAAGTTTGCAGGGCTATGGGGCAAGAGCGGGGCAGTGGGATTGATGTGGATAGCTCTTTTCAAAGAGCCGGCACAGACACGATGGGCCGAATGGCCTCCTTCTGTGCTGTTTAATTCTATGATTCTATGAGGTCTGCTGCCAGCTCGTCAATTCATATGCACTCAGAGGCTGAAATAATGAGCACGCATTATTAGGATGTTCAAATGATTTTGTCTGACACACACCATGCTTAAGAATATCCCATCCAGACTGAGAGTAGCATGTATGATGTGTGCCACTTAGAAATGAAATTCCTGGGCTTGGAATGGAATGTGCACTCCACACGAAGAGCTGCACCTTGCTTACATCTAGGCTCAACTACGCCAATTCCCTGCTTGTCGGCCTTCCCAGCTTTTCCTCCATAAGCTGAACTCTGCAGATCGCTTCCCCCCCCGCACAGGCTCCAAGACCCTATCACTCCTATACTCGCCTGGCTCCACTGGCTCCCGATCCCCCAGAGGATAGAGCTCAAAATCCTCGTCCTCGCCTTAAAGGCCTTGGTCCTTCCTACCTCTGCGACCTGCTGACCCCATTTCAACCTGTCCGCTCCTTCCCCTAAGCAGTCCCTTTTCTCAGCCTGCTTCATGTCCCCCGCCCCACCCTCCCCACCATCGGCTGTCGGGCTTTTAGCTTTTCTGCCCTATAGGCACTATACAAATGTAATGTGTTGTTGTTGCTTACCTAATTCCAGAGAGTATTAGGCACAGGTTGGCACAGGGAATCACAGAAGGTGTGTTGCAATACTGTTGGGAGTTCAACCAGCTACAACAACGTAGCTTGCCAGTGAAAGCACTGTCTGGCAAGTGTCCTGCTGCTTGTCCATCTAGGACCACCCTTGGGTTACGCTTTTGGCTTCCAGAGTTAACAGGAGCCGAATGTGAAGAATCCCTTCCCCCCCCAGTGACCGGTCTGCCCCTCTTGATCCTCCTGATGAGTCAGGTTGTCTAGGCTGTCATCAGCAGTACTGTGTAATACTGCAGACAGGCCTGGCTCATGAACAGGATGACTGAGACCACTGCAGCTAATTGACTCACTGTTCAATTGCTGATTGAATGAGTTCTAATGTTCCATGAAGTTCCATTTACATTACCTCAACAATTTTCCTGCTAATAGTTTCAGGCTGTGAAAGCCCATCAAATTAATAATGTACTTTTTATCAAAGCAGCAGTTGGCAATTGTGAGAGAGGTTGACACTATAGATTAAGATACAGAATATTTTATCGATGGGGTGGGGGGGCAACAGTCTCCAGCACTTCCATATTTTTAAAGAGGCGAAATGAACTGTAAGTCACGATATGTCTGTAATTACCATGATAGATATGGAGAAAGTTGTTTCCACTTGTTGACAATTTACAACAGAAACACCAATTTGCATTAATATAGCTTCCTTCACGTGGGTAGCATCTCAAAGAGATTAACAACGGCGAGATTTAATATTGTGACGGGAAGGAGGGAGCAACCTAAGGCATGGTTGAAGAGGAAATTCTTCAGATGTGATTTATAGATGGGCAAAGAGGTGTGAAAACGGAAGGATTGAGGCAAGGAGTTGCAGAGATTCGGGGTATAGTGGCTGAAATTAGCTGTATTTGACTCTAATCAACATTATGACATTATGTTCCCCTTGTTGAAAATGTACTGGTATTCTATGAGGTTTCATCCCTCCCCCCATTAAAATAACAACAACAAAATTACATTTGTATAGTGCCTTTCACTTCGGGAAGACATCCCAAGGCGCTGGACAGTCAATGTTTCGGACTCTAGCTGGGGGTCGGGATTGGGGAGGTTGGAGGGCAGGGGGGGAAGGATAGTAATCGAAGTCACGGTCGATGAGGAGGGTCTTGAGATGGGTCTTGAAGGAGGCAAGGTAAGGGGCAAGGCGGAGGGGATGGAGTTCCAGAGGGTGGGGGCAGAGTGGCTGAAGGCTCGCCCGCCTCTCCGATAAATCCTGTCCGGTCTGCTCACGCACCACTCCTCTACTCACAACCTTCGCTCAGCTGGCACGGGTTTGTTGCACGTCTTCATTTGGTTTGTAAAGAAATCCTTCCTGATGCCTTTTCTAAATTGGTCCTTCACAACACTGAACGTGGCACATGCCCTCTTTCCAGTTGCCTCAGTGTATCACCAGGAATTGTAAAAAAAAGTGGATATATCATCAGGAATTAATTTTACATCTGGAATGGCAATTATTGAGTAACATTGTATCTGAAGCCTGAAATGCGCCAAAGAAGTTTAATTCACAATAGATTGTTTGAATTGATGATCTGTTATCTGAATTTACCTTTCTTAAATGCTATAAAAGGTAATGCTAATCAATATATTTTTGTCGATATATTTATTTTTCAAATGTAGCTCATTTCAATCCTTATTAGATGAGGTGCTTTAGTTTTGTTTTAAAATATCATTCCAATGAAACTAAGATATTTTACTCCTTCAGACTCAGACACTACTTTTAAGTCACCAGGACTTTCTGCTGAACTCTTCACAACAATGAACACAAAATAATCATTACACCTTCAGACAGACATTTCTAGAGATTACTCATCTAGCTCTAGGATATAACAAATCATGCAGAATCCGCAAATATTCTCACTAATTGTCTTCCCTTATATTGCTCTCCTGAAGGCAATTTGACTTCTATGTTCCTGCTGCTGCAGTCCAAATCCAGGGTTTGAGCAACCTCATCCAAAGGATCTTTCTTCATGTGTGAGCTGAGACAATGGTTGTTGACAGCTATTCAACATTAAATTACTATTTTATTATTATATTACAAAAAGCACAGCTAAAATTGATCCTGGATCTCATTTAAAAAACAGCTTGATACTGTGATGGGGGTGAGGTGGGGGACACGACGACAACAGAGGGATGGGTGTTCTGGAGGGATGTTATCAGAGCGGCTGAAGAGCTTTTTCATCCAAACCAATATTGTGATTGTGATCTCTCTATAAACTCTTTCTGACATTTATTGTAACTAATGTAGTCTGTTGAGACTGATTATAGCACCAGAACTGCTGCTCGGGTGAGGTCAGCTTATTGAGCATGGACTCCGGGCATTAAGTTTTCATGGGTCCCTCCAGTTTATCACCCTGTTTTAAGTAGATAAACTGAGTATCACACCTGAAGCTATCCTGCTTGGTGATAAAGCAAGTGCAGTCTCCAGGCTAAACACCTGGCAAATTGGTCACGGTAAATCAAGTTGATAGTTGACTAGACGCATGCAGTTGATTGTTGACTAGTCTAAATGATTCATCAATAAAGGTTGGTCCATTGAACATGTCTTCAACTCTGAAAGCCACAGCCTAGGGTAGGGTAATGCTGGCTAGACAAGTGAAGGTTACCCATGCTTTGTTTAGGTATAATGTGCATTTACAATAGACTGTGATTTCTCAAACCTAAAAAGATCACAAACGCGTTGCAGTGACTGTGCTACTATGTTTGTTAAACTCATTTTCTTTTTCCTTAAAATGGACAGAAAAAAATGGAATAGAGATGAAGGTACCCCAGGCACACAAGTGTTTCCTGCATTGCTTCCTACATTTATGACCAAGATCATTATTAGCAATTATAGAAGGCTACACAATAATGTGCAGTGAAGTAGATGGATTTATAAATTACATTACTTTCAGGCCAAGAATCTTGAATCAGTGTTTCTCTTTAAAGTGCTGCATGTGTGGCAAACCTTTAATGTACTATCATGAAAAAGAGTAGATCAGAGAAAACGAATACTGCTGAAGGCTGGCATGTCACTTTGAAGATTGCAGGGGTTCACCCTTTTGAAGACTGTAGACTGTTGTAACAGATAATTTTAAAGACCATGAACTGGGAGCTGAAATGAAAGGCATCGGGAAATATCAGTCTAACTTCACTTTTTGTGGTGAGAATACATAAAATATTTAATGTTGGGAGTTGTATTTGACAGTGTGTTTAGTATTGGAGTGATACTGTAGGGAGTGAAGCTATATTGCTTCTTGAATTATAACAAGCGGGAAGTCTGATTTATACATCGCATTTCAGATCACATTGTATTATGGAAATTAAAAAACATTTTTGAAACCACTAGAACTTGATTAGAGAGGTCTACACAAGCAAACCAGTTGTGTGATTAGAAAATGTTCCCTTGCTGACCAGATCAAAATAAGGTGAAGTTTTAAGTACTGTGGCTAAGCAGCGTGTACTGGCACTCCTCCTATTCTTGGACTATTAATGACTTGGATTCACAGACCTAGTGTAAGATAGTTAAATTTGCAGATAACCGATAACATCAAGTTGGAGGGAAACTGTTGAATCTGGGGATAACACAGACCTTAGAAATAGATCTTGATAGAGTATGCATATGTACTGATTGATAACTCTCAAATGAAGTTAAATACAGATGAATGCAAGGTATTATATATACGATGTAAGAATAGGAAACGATTGTACCTTGTGGATGGGTAGAACTTGCCAAAAAGTGATCTAGGGGTGTTAATTGGTTCATTGCTCACCGTGTCAAAACAGTGCGAGGTAGCAATAAACCGGGCAAACATGCTGGCTGAATCACTAATTCAATTGAGTTCAGATCCACAGATGATATTAATAAAAATAATAATCCTTGCATTTGATATAGCGCTTTTCACGTCTTCTAGACGTCTCAAAGTGCTTCACCGAATATGCTGTAAAGTAAATTGACTGTAATATTTGTGGGCGAAACGCGGCAGCCAATTGCGCACAGCAGTGTCCTACAAGCAGTTGTGGATTGAAAATGACCAATTTTTTTTTGTTGTTTTTTTGGAGGGAGTATTATTAGGCGTGTGGAGTAAGGAAACTTGCCCAAGGTTTCGCTCTGCCTGGAATTGAACC